AATTCATCTCCCACTGCAGAAATGATAAATGGTTTTGGATTCTTTCCTTTTGTTTAGTTTGAAATCAATAGCTTGTTCCCCAAGTTCTCTTCCGGAGAAAAACCATCGAAGCCTGCTGTACGTGTCTTCATACTGCTCAAATCTTTGTTTCAAAGCCACAACTCGAAACAAGACAGACCTAGCATCCCTATAGCATGTGTGTATGCGTGTGTTCCTGTCTTTTCATGGTAGGGCAATGCTGAGGTATTAATGATAAATATCTTCCACTCTAATATCTTGGAGTGAGCGGGGAGGGAGACTCTTCTTGAAGACAAATTGATTTCAAAATAGCCATTATTTTATTGCCTGTCAGGCAATACTTTCAAAAAAGGAACACAAATAAAATCCACACAGGAAAATAAACCCTCTTTCAAAAGAGAAGAAAATAAAAATGCTCATAAATGAAATACTGTAGCCCACAAAGCAGTAATTTTTAGAATGTGTATCCTATTTGATTTCCATTTGTTAACTTTGAAAGCATTTATTTAACCCTCCGAGAGAACAACAGATCTTCTTTTTCAGCATTCTGGATATTTCTTCTTTCTGTATGACAGAGACAATTCCCTTTTCTCAACAGCTGGCAAAAGATCTTTTGGCAGGCATCTGTGTCTGCAAGAGCTGGAAGCCAGCGTTCATCTTAGGCTTTTACCACTTCATCTTTTTTTCATTCTACTTTTGCTCTTAAGAGCGTCTGATTATTAAGGACTGTTGCTTACTGAGCTAACGCGTACGATGCCTTGGGTTTCCAGAATTCAAAATACCGGGTTTTTATAAAACCTCAAATCTAAACTTGTGATTTCCTGTTAGCTTTCAACTCCCGTTTGCATTTCTCATCAGATGCCTCCTACTTGTCATCTTGGAGCCTGGCTACGGTAGTAACGAACCGTGGCACGGGGAGTTTTGGGCAAGCCAGCACACTGTCGAAACTCTTTGATGCCGCAGGGCATCTTCTTTTCTTGTGGCTGTCATGCTCCTCGAGGCCCGAAGGCAACACAAGAGGTCACGCTTGCGCTCCTATTGGCCTTACAGCACGGCTCGTCCAGACAGTACCTTCGCGTGGGGATCTTTCTGCAGCCAACGTCCACCGTCTGGTTCCCACTGCCCTCCTGGGAAGTTCGAATCAATTGCAATGTATGGGTTGAGATATCACTCTGAATAGAAGACAGACCTCAAAAGGCATCCCAAGTTGGTTCCAGGTCCCTGGTGCTGCTGCCTGATCGTAGAGGACAGAGCTCTTTGCTTCTCCTGTGCTTGCAGCGTAGCTCGTACCGATGCTTTGAGGAAGCCAGTTCTGTTGTCCCGTGCCAATGCTGGGCGTCACTTTCTTCTCACTGTTGAGTCCAAAAAAGACAGGGGTTGTTCACGTTCATCCTAGATCTTGGAGATTTCAGTTTGAAACTGGGGAAGGAAAGTTTCAGAGGGCATTCTCCAAGGGCTCTCGTGGTCTCCTCCCAGAGGAAGAGAGACTTCTGCACCTTAGTGATGCAGCGCTATCAGTCGCAATTGCGGAAATTATGCCTGTTTTATAAAGGGGGAAAAATGATTCAGATTTTTTGTCCTTTGGATTGGGGCAAACATTCCGAAGATGTCGATCAGCACTACGTTGTGATGAGAATGGGCGCACCTGTGTTTTTTTCACCTGGAATATTGACTTGTTGGAGATGGTACTTTGGAAGAGATCCAGAAGTCATATTGTGGCAATTCGGTCTGTTGCTGGAGATAAACTTGTCCCAGATTGCAGTTGCAAATACTGCAAATACTGCAGTTGCAAATACTACCCAGCTGAGGACTTTTCTGCACCAATTCCCACTGTTTCTTCTGTGAGGCAGGTCTAGCAGAAGCTGGGGAAACGTTTGAATGTGTTTTTTTTAAGTCTGGCTGCTCATTGCCTCTTTAACTCCCAAACTTCTCAAGTCTGGATTGAAATAAGGACACTTTTTTTTTCCTCCTACTCAGAATCCATCAGTTGTGGGGTTTCGTGGCTTTTTTTCTCCTGTAGCAATAATTAATTGCTTAATTAATCTGGAGAAAGGGCAAGTGTTGAATGCACTCCAGACCTCGCGTCTGGAGATCAAAGCTGAGGTGTTTGGTGTGAGTTAAAAACATAGCAGTGGCTGACAAAAACCTAGTAACAATTTTACAAGTCTGAGATTTGCTTCATGCTAAATACTCCTCCATGTGGTCATTTACCTGAGTGGAATGGAAAACAGGATCATAAATAAGTTGGAAATGGAGACTAAGGCCACTTGAAAACACCAACATTAAGTTTTATATTCATGAGAGCTCTATATATAGAATATAAAAATCTGTCCATGGGCTGCTTAAGACATGGATTATGATTTCTACGAGCGAGGCAAGCTACCGAGGAAAAATCTTCTTTATCTGTCTCTCCCCCAGTGAGGGAGTAAAGAGTTTCCAAAAAAAATCCTGCCTCAAACAAACTCGTGCCTTAGAAAGTCCAGTATGTCCGAGTACTCCTGCAGGTCAGGCTAAGCTGGTGATAGCCTGCTTTTATCTACAGGGCAATAAGATTCTAGGAGGAAGGTCATTTACAAGTGGGAGGAATAACCCTGTGAAGATGTTTGGGTATTACCTGGCTGTCTTAAACAAGATCACAACTGGAGAGACTCAACGTTGAAGTGTGTCTCAAAGTGCAGGGACGGTTTTGGTTGGACAAGCAGTTTTTCAGCCAACATTACTGAAGCGGCCCGTTGTGTTTTTAGGTACAGCAGGGATCCATCACATGTCGCTGGAGTGGCTACAGCTGATTCTTCTGTTAAAACCATATAGGACTGATTTTGTGACAGTATTTCTTAAATCTGTAGTTTGGTCTTTGGGGCTTTTCCTGATATTTAAATCCTTGGAGTGTCAGTTCTGGATACCAATATAAACAAAACAGAGCTAAAAAAGTGAAAATTCCCCTTTTTTTGTGATTTGTGTTCTGAAAATGCAATTTAAGATATTTTAGAGATTGGTTTAAAAAAAACCAGGAAGGCATGCGGTTACATTGTGGTAGGTTCTCTGGGATTTATGCAATGGAATTTGATTAGCTGGAGTTTAAGGTTGCGTGTTAAATGGTAAACAGGCACATTGAATTTTATGTTATGCCCCTCATTTGTCTGAACTCTGTTTTACTATTGGCTTTTTTACAAAATTAGCAAAATACTAAAAGGGAAAACAAAATGCACGCCCACGAAAAATCTTTTCATCGTGTCTTATCCTAGGTCATGTACACCTTGATGTGTAAACACATGCTTGAAAGAATTGTAATTTGGACGTCTAATTTCTGAGCTAGAAAGCCGGGGAGGACAGTTTCTCTGTATATAGGAGGTGTTTGCCAGGCCCAGGGGTGCCAAATATAAAGCATTTGCATTTCCAGCCTGATCTGAAACGTTAAACACAAAACCAGAAGTGGAAATCCAACGGGACGTGTGTTTTCAGTGCATGGTTGGGTTTTTGTTCCTCAAGTGCATGTCTGTTTGGGTTTTTTTTTGTTCCAAACTGCTGCCTAGATAAACGTACTTGTCATGAAATGGCTTTTATTGCTTTGTTAATGTATTTCTTGTCACAGCAGAATAGGATATCTTCTGCTTTATGATTACAGTTTGTTCTTAGTTTATCTTTTGTTAATTTATTAATTTCTGTACTGAAACGTGTTAGCGGTGCCTGGAAGAGAGAATGTGATCTGTCTTCTCATGAATTCAGTGCCTCGTGTGTTGTGTTAATTTTGTACCTTTTCTAGTTGTCAGAACATTTCAGTACTTTAAAAAAATGCTGGTTTAAGTTATGTAAAAGTTCAATTCCATTCTTGTCAGTTAACAGTACAATTTTATATTCCTTTTCAAATAGAATTTGTTTTGAAAAATGGTAATTTTGATACTTTCTGATAATCAGTACCCTATGATCTCTTATAATATGAGCAGGGCAGTTGAGAATGGAAAACTATTTTATTGCATCAAACCCATAGTTAAATACATTTCTAGTTACGCAGTTTTATACACATGCAGTATATGATTTTTAATACTCAAATATTGTCCAATGATTTGCAATAAATAAAGTAGAAGAGGGTAGTTCAAGGCAATTTCACTTGCTTTAATTTTCTTAGTCCTCTCTCATTTTTTTGTGTATGATCACTGTCAATTCAAGACTCCGCCTTAACTGAAAGACAACAAATAATTTGTTTTATATTTCAGATTTGATAAAGGGGTATAAAAATAGCCAAATAAACTTATATTATACTCTCTTTCTTTCTAGGTAACCAGCAAATCTTCCTAGGTGGTCTTTCTTTTCTTGCCAAGTGATATGACTAAACCACCTCAATTATTTACATTTTTTTCTTTATAAATTCTTGGGGGATTGTGTCTGCTAACCTACCTTTATATATTAATATATTATATTTTGCTCATCAGATTTTATCATAAGCATCAGTATGGCATAGAATCGTCATCATTGTATTTTTAGTCCAAAAAAATACTTTGAATAATAATTCTCCAAAAACCAATTAACAGAATAGAGCAGGAAATAGAAGAGCTTGAGTTTCACATCTACATTTAGAT